TAGTAAAATTTTGTGAAAATTTAATTTGTTGAAGGAGACGAAGAAAAGATGACAGAGTATGTGAAGACGTAGTAGTTAGAAGGTTATAGTAGGATAAGAATTTAATACATATATTTTAAAAATTTTATATAAATAAAATAACTTTTATTAATTAACTTTTGCTTTTTACGTTCAATAAATATATATTTTAAAGAAATTTTTAAATTTTTTATTAAAGTAATATGCAAAAATGTATTAATAAAAAGGTATCTAATTTGGATAAAACTTTCAAAATATATGTATTTTGAGCTTATAAACAACTTTTACTTAATAAGATATATCAATTTAATTAGTAAAATTTTGACTTTACTATGGAGTAATTATTAATATTTATAAAATATTAGATTATAAAGAAATTTTTAAATTTTTTATCAAATGTAATATGCAAAAATGTATTAATAAAAGTTATCTAATTCAGATGAAAATTTTAAAATATATGTATTCTGAGCTTCTGAACAACTTTTATATAATAAGATATATTAATTTAATTAGTAAAATTTTGACTTTACTATAGAGTAACTATTAATATTTGTATAATATAAGTATTAAACTATATAATATTTGCTTAAATTTGATTGGCTAATTAGTATCAGGTGGGGGAAGGGGTATCCTCTTAAGAGGTGGAAATTACCTAATAAATGTCTATACTCTAACGTATATGTAAATGAAAAAAAGTTATAATAAAAGGATAAATAAAAATAATTTATAACAAAAAAACAAGCAAAAATAATTTTTGCTTAAGTAAAAGAGGTTTAATTAATTAATTATAAACTCCTTTTTATTTATTTACAATTGTTATATAATTATTCTGCAATACATATTTTATATCAATTACTTGTATTTGTCAAACTATCTGTCAAACTATTTTTGTATATTATAATTGTATTAATAAATATAAGTATAATCATTGTACTAAATAGAAACCTTATACAAGAAAGAAGAAATCATCTCTAATCAGGGTTGGCATTGGACAATGTCTAAATAAATTTAATTAGACAATTGAACAATTAGATATTTGAACATTTGAACATAGTCCAAATGTCCAAATAATTTTTTGAATCTTTAGACATTGGACAATGTCCAAAAAAATTATAAGATTAATTAGACATATGTTCAATTGTCCAATAATTTTATTGGACAAATTTTATATTATGATAACCAATAATGATGTTTATCAATTTTATTTATTCTACATATATAGACTTTTTTGCTTTTCAATTTATAATAATAATTTATTAATGAATGTCTCTATTTCAAAGTATCAACCTTGGCTAATTTACTTTATTTGGTGTTTTCATTTATATTAAATTAATCTGTTGTCATCAAAATTCATATCATTTTACAGTCTCTAACATTGTTTAATTAATCATATTTTACTGGGGTACTACCAGAGGAATTTAAGGTGATCTGGTAGTGTTAGTACTACATATGTACGTACGTATGTACATATGTTGTAAGTGAACCTAGAATTTAAATTGATCTGGGATTATTAAGGTTAGGGTGAGAATTATTTGATCTTAAGAGTAATTATTATGTTTCAATCTAAATAGATTCCAAACCCACGTTTTTACCTACAACAGCATGAATGCATGTATATAGCATGTAAAAAATTTGATAGTTTAAGGTACAATGGTTCATGCAGAGCCTGGATGGCATAACTGCTATAACTTGAATATTTCTTGTATAATTTAAAGATGCCTCTGAACTAATTTGTATAGGTTTAGACTTATGTGATCTCAGAAAGTTAAATAATGATAAATCTCTGAGCTTATATAAGTCTAAATATTCTATTGTGTGATAGCAAAACGAGAATTTGTTGAATGTAAAAAGTAAATTTGTAAAAGTAAGTCTTTGTTAATCAGTATATGCTTCTTTTGAGTAAAACAATATTAAAGTTTTTATAATAAACACACCTTTAACAATTGTTTTATAAACTAGACCCAAATAATATTTCAAAACTTAAAAAAAAAGCAATTGACTTTACTATGGACAAGCGAATTATATTTAATTCATAGTTTTATATTTTTGTATAAGCTTACCGAATAAATATCTATTGTCAAAATCTATGAGGCAGAATCTATACAAAATTCTATTACCAGATAATATATTCTCGACAAATATATAGTTCTTTGTAATAAAATTAGACTTTGACTATTTTTTATAACACTCATATAATTGTGATATAATTCTTTTCTTTGTATATACAAAAATTACAATAATGTCAATAAGTGTATTGTTAAGATTACTTTTTTTTTAATTCATCAAAAATATTAAAGCTATAATTTTATATAAAATAGCATTGCTTCTTTTTTCAAATTTATCTTTTTACTTTCATAATGAGAAAAAAACTACACAGACTGACAGATCTTTTTATTATTTTGAATGAAAAAGCAAACAAGTGTAATAAGTTTGCTGTTTGTAAATTCTGCATTGATGGCTCTTCATATGATGATGTTTTAAAAAACAGAATAACTAATATCCAATGAGAATACAAGCATCACCTTAAGACTTGTCAATATTTTATAACAAAGTATCCTAGCGAAGTAAAACGTAATAGTATTTTAAACCCAATATTAGAAAATAATTTGCAAGAAAATGAACTAAGTGTTGAAAAGTATAATTTATTGTACATTTACTAGTACTATATTTGAGTGTTGCCAAGAAAAAACCTGTAAGTACAATTTAAATTTAAATTTTAACTATACCGAACTTGAATACAGAAAATTTGATATCACTGATTATTAAGTTTTTTGAATTTAAGTCTGTATAGTGAAATTTTAAATTCACACTTACAGGTTTTCTCTAGACAGCACTTATTTTATAAATAATTTATGTATTTATTTAAAATTAAATTTTAGTTGATGAAACGGTTTCAGAACTTCTTCAACTATTTCTAATAGAGGCAGCTTAAATAAATAGGCTCGATTAGGCCTAAATGAAGAATTGGCATTAAAAAATTATTTTGCAGCACCACTTTCAGATAAGCAAAAAAAAAATTAGAACAGCTACTTTTAAAAGCAACTGTTTCATGTAGTTTTGCATTTTCTTGAGTTGATGACCCTGAAATAAGAAAACTTTTTCATTATGTTAATCTTGCTATTGAATTGCCAAAATACTATATACTTTCAAACCGAATTTTAACTAATGCTGCTAAAAATACTATAGAGCTATAAAAAAAGATATGCAAATTGATAAGCTTAGTATTACATTAACTTATGATGGTTGGAAGAATATTAAAAAGGAAAGTTTATTAGGCATAGCATTAATTAATTTAAAAGGCAAAATGTTAATTTGGGGTGCAGAAGATCTTTCAGAAAAACAAACTCGATGGCCTGAGGTTATAAAAATTATTAATGACCTTTTTACCAAATTTGAAGAAAATAACATTAAAGTTAATTGTCTTGTAATTAATTCTGCTTCTGAGTTTATGGCAGCTCAGTTACGTCTTCAAACTTCTTATCCTAATAAGGTTTTTATACCTTGTTTTGCACATCAAATAAACTTGGCTGTTGGTGATATATTTCAATATTCATCAACTATTAAAACTGTTGCAAAAGAAGTGATCAATCTTGTAACATTTTTTAATCGGTCTACATTTTTTTTAGGACAACTTCAAAATAAACAAATTTTGACATATAACAATAAATATATATCTCTTATATTACCAAATACAACCTGTTAGAATAGTTATTACTATTGTTTTTCAAGCATTATCAAGTCTCGTATAGACCTTAAAGTAGGTTTGCTATTAATCTGAATATTGCTAAAGAAAAATTATAGTTTAGACTACAATTAAATGTCCAAACCATAATTTTTTCTTGATAGCACTCATATAACTATCAATTATATTAATTGAACAAATCTAATATGTTATATTGGAGTATGTAATATACTATATAAATCAAAGTATATGTGGTTATTAAGTAGTTTAATCAGTCTGATTTTTTTAGTGATCATTATATAATATATGGTTTATATATAAAAACTGATCTCCTATTTTTAGATACACAGATCGAACTTCTTTTTTAATAATTTTTTTTTATATTAATTGGTTCGCTGTTATCATATTTACAGAATTATGAGGTTTGTTTTTTATATTTTTTATGAAATTTTACTTTTTTAAGTTTTTTTTTATATACAATCATTATTTTATTTGCTTAAAAAAACTTTTATATAACTGATAATTTTTTTCAATAGAGAGACTTATTTGGCTTCATAACTTTGTTTTTTGAAATGCAACCTTGCTTTGTGCAACATTTAGGTTTTGAATAACTGGGTTTAAAGGTTATGCATTTAATTAAATATTCTATAATCTTTGAACTTGCAATTTTGGATATATAAAATCTTTGATATGAAATTTTTATACAATATCATATATAGTTTTAATTTATATAGTATACTGCATACCTAATATTATATGCTTATTTTAACAACTTACTTAGTATAGCCAATAAAAATACCCTTTACTCTAACTATTATTGGTTAATACAGTATTGTTATATATAACAAGTTGTTATGAATATATTTATTATATTAATTATTAAAATTTATTTTTAAATTAGAATCTCGCGAACAAAATTGATGAAGGTTTAGATACCATTTAGTTAGATTTCCTGAAATTATTCTTAGAAATATTCTTAATCTTGATAACTCTTGGTGGACTGATTTACGACAACTTGAGACACTTATTTTTCACTACTGTTCAGCATTAAATAAATTACAACATGATCATACTAGGCTTCATGATGTTTTATATAGCTTTGGATAGATCGTTCAAGTAATTAAAAGTCTTTCTGATGATAATCTTTAAACTAATCTTTTATTATATTTAGAACATCGGTGAAATACATGAGAACAACTGTTATTACTATTAAGCTTCTTACTTCATCCTGAATATTGTGATAATATGTTTAATAAGCAAATTCATAATCTATCTTTTTCTCATTTTGGTCAATGCTTATTATACTATTATAAAGCCTGGTTTGAATATGATTCAGAATATATTTTGGATGAATTACAGTAGTATCGAGAGAAATTATATCTATTTCGAGATCAAGACTATCAAAAATTTAAAAAAAATAGTAATATTCTTTCTTTTTAGAAATTTGTGAGTGGAATTACTAGAGAGTTACACCTTATTGCACAACATATTTTTTCAATTTGTATTAGCTCAGCATCTATTGAACACTTATTCTCTACTATGGGTTGGTTACATAACTTTCAGAGAAACAAATTAAAGGTATACCTGATATTATATATACAAATATTTATTATAGTATTTAGTAAATACTTATTAATTCAAATTTTTAGCCTGAAAAGGTAGTAGCAATATGTCAGATACATAGTAATCTAATATATTCATGCCAAATGAATGAAATTAATGAATTAAAAAAAAAGTTTATACAGTACGGGACAGTAAAAGACATCCAATCTATACATAGAGGTGCCAATTTTTGATGCTTATATAATCAATTCTGATTGGCTATTTTTTGTGTAATTGATTCTGATTGGTTAAAAATATA